ATCAGCTGTTTTATTAACTCTGATCTTCATTTCTTTCTGAGTTGCACTTCAGCAGAATCCAGATGTGAGTTAAGATGGTGTGTTTTAAAGAGAACTTTATTGCAAAACCTATTTTGCAACTGTTCTTAAGTTCTTAACTCTGTTTAGAGCACCATGTCACACATCCGTCAAGATTTATCTGATTCTAGATGAGACGTTTCACAGCTCCAGCCACCACATCTGCACCCATGTCTGCTCCCCCTGAAACCACAGAGCAACATACAAGTAATCTCCTGCCATCAGTGTTAATAATGCCCTTGCAGTACAATACCAACACACCCTTTTCTCTCTGAATTGTCTTCTTCTGCTTCTTCTTGGTCTTTAGAGAAAACTTTGTCTCCTCCTGCTATCCAGACCTAAACTGTCTTCTACTCTGCCCCCCTCAGGATTTGTCTAATTCTAGATCTGATTGTTCACAGCTCCAGCCACCACGTTCGTACCCACCTCAGCTCCCCCTGAAACCACGGAGCAATGTATAGGTAATGTCCTGCCATCAGCTTTATAAATGTCCTTACAGTACAACACCAACACAACCATCCTCCTGACTCTTCTTCTTCTTCTGTGCCTCTCGTCCAGGTTACTTGGTGGCTTTGACCGTTTGTGCGGTTGTGATCACTATCTTGCTGGCTGGTTATCTGTTCTTCTACAAATGGATGAAAAACAAGAGATCCAGACCTTCAAATGGGAGAAACGTGGAGGTAACTCTCTCTCAGTCGTTGTTTCTGTGTAAAAGAGACACTACATCTCTATCAGGTAATTTGTCTAACTGATGGATATCACCATGAAACTTCCCCAGTTGGTTACTTAAGATTAAACAAGTTTTCTGAAATGATATGTTTAAGAATGCAAATAAGGTACAACCTTTTTTTTAAAAAAGCACACATTTGCATTTATCTGATCTTATGTGAACAGGCCATGTCAGTGTCTGCAGCTTTAAATGCAGCTGAGTTGCTGCTGTCTCCGCCCCCTTCAGGAAGAAGACTCTCTGTGTCTGTGATTGACATCATGACACTGGAGACTCAGATGACTTCAGCTGAAATAAGGTTTACTGATATCAGGAGAAGTGACACTAACAGAACAGCAGTTCACTAATGCAATGCCAGCATCAAGTCCAAGGATTTCTCTCACACCTTCGGTCTTATACCCTCCTTCGGTGGGGGCCACATCCAGATTTATGGGTGAGAGGGAAACAAAGGTAGTCCAGTGTCTTGGTGCAATCTGGTCTTGAGAGGTACAAGGAGTGTTTGCCTGTCCTCCTACAATGAGGTCTACATGAGGTAAAGAATCTACAGAAGATTTGCAGAGTGCACATCTGCTACAAATACTACGTATAGATAGATAGATAGATAGATAGATAGATAAACAATACTTGCATATCTAAAATCTCAACATGAAATAGACATAAACAATCTTATTTTATGTGGTTGATGTTTAATTGACAGTTACTACATCACAAATTCTGATTTCAGCATTAAATGCAAACAAAAGCAAAATGACCAGAGAGACAAACTGATCAAAACTGACCACAAACACACACAAAAAAACCCCCCAACAGACACAAAAATACCATGAAGAGACACAAGATGACCACAAGGAGGTGCAAAAGGACTGACTGGCTAAACAGTGACTTACAGTTCATGGTATTGGAGCGGCGTTTGTCTGTAAAATAAAACCTGCTCAGATCTGTTTCACTCCAAAAAACAGCCTCTTTCAGCAGAAATAACTTCATTAAGTGTTGCTACTTCACACACACTGCTTCCATCACCTAAGTCCCTTTAATTGTGTCTCTTTAAAGTTTGAGCTGCCAAAATGCCCCATTTTTATTCACCCAACCGAGTAACAAACATAACTAACATCTGCAGTATTGTGTTCAGTTTATGTTTGTTGTTGTTATTTACAGAATGAGCTGCTGAGACATTCAGGTGTGTTTTCAAATACGTTAGTTAGTTCCTCAGATTTCCACTGGGTGGCAGCAGCATCTCACTGAACTGCATGTTCCCTCTTTTTAAATTCCTGTTGGCCTCATGTGTGTGCATTCAATCAGGATTATGTCGGTAATATTTGGGAAAAGGCTGATTTAAAGTATGCTTTCGTTAATTATTCATGCATCATTAATGGCATGATTATGTGTAAAGGTCTTACTCTGAGAATCTTCCTGAATGTTTTATTGCATTAATGCGCTCCTTCAAATGAATGTCAATGACAGTGTTGCTCTGCTCCAATGAAAATCATTTGTAAGTATTTCAGTGCTACGCTACAATAATCTTCTTCTGATGGACTTATCTTGATTTTGTTCAATAGCGTTTGTGAGTAAATATACAAAAGCTTCTTCCACCACTTTGTTGTGTAATTAGCTTCTTTTATTAGTTGTATGGAGATTTGTTTTTAGTATAAAACAATGACAGAGGCTCACACAATGAACACAAAGATATGAGAAATTACCACAAAGAGACACAACATGATTACAAATTAATGAGAAATTACCAAAACAACCACAAACAGCTGCAATAAAGTTGCAAAACTGTCACAAACATTCACAGAATGATCCGGAACAGACGCAAAAAAAGACAACAAATAGACAAAATTACCACAATGCAATACAAAACAGCTGCAGAGTTACACAGTGACCACCAAGAGACAAAAAGACATTCAGGGAAAAAGTCACAACACAAAATGAGTCAAAGACTCAGATAAAAGGTAAAATAATAATAATAATAATAATTAAAAAAAAAAAACTAAACTAAAACAAAAATTGTGCAAAAAAAAAAAAATTCCCCAAAATCAACATACAAAAACAAGACAAAGTGAGACACATTCCATAAAAAGGCAAAGTGATTGTCTGAGTTGTGCCTTTTCCAGATGTTTGCAGATGTTTCAAGTGTATTCAGTGATTAAAAGTGTGAATGATGGTTAAATATAAACTACACACAAGCTGCAGGAGTTCAAATGATTCATTGTGATTCAAAACCACAAAAATAAAGGATATGTCACATCCCCACCGGAACAGTGACGTCTCTCTCTCTCTCTGTGTGTGTGTGTGTGTGTGTGTGTGTGTGTGTGTGTTCACCTTGCCTGGGTGTGTCCCTCTAAAAGCAGCAGGTACTGCAGCAGTTTCGTCTGTTTGTGCTGGGAAGACTTGAACCGTCCGGGATGGATCTGTTCGCCTTGAAGTCGCTTTTGCTTTTGTTCCTTTTTGTTGGTAAGAAGAAGGAAACTTTCTGCAATTGTGATTTATTGTCAAACTGATGTTTGTTTGTTTTTTTAAAGATTATTATTTTATTTTTTTTACGTGCGTTTTTCCTGCTTTTCCATCGTTTTACGCACGGACATTCCTGGTTCCCTGGGTGTAGCCTGTTGGAATCCATGATCAATTAATATCAAATCATTTGTTATTATCCTCCTTTATCGTGTTTAAGTGTTTTCCTAAGATTTTTTAAAAACTCCTACTGTTACTTTTTCTGCACTTCTGCTCTTTAACGTTGCTTTCTGTGACTTGTGTCCCCCCCAGGACGCTGCGCAGCGCAGGATGTTCTGCCGCCGGGTCCAGTGGACGCAATTTTGGGAAGAAATGTGACTCTGAAAACGCTGATTGACAAATCGGAGTACAGCTTCATAATCTGGAATCACAGCGACGGGAAGGAGCAGGACAATGTCGCTACTTTGGGTCCATCGGGGCTGAAGGTGAACGAACGGTTCGAGGGAAGAGTTTCGATCAACGCCACCAACGGCTACCTGAGCCTGTTCTCTCTGAAGTCTGAGGACAGCGGGGATTATAGCATCAACCTCATAGCAGCAGATGGTACTACTAGTACTGGGGAAATTAAACTCCAAGTCCTGGGTGAGTCATTTCTTCTTGGTTTACTACCTGTGATGCAACCTGCCAAAGGTGCAGCAGGGAGATTTGTTCAATTTCCTGTTTAATAGTGGATTACATCTGTGCCGATTTAAACAGTGCCCCACGGTAATTCAGAAAGTCGCCTTAGTTTTTCGTTGTGTGGCTTGTGAACCCGTTCATTTTAAAATGGCAATATTTACAATGCAGTCAGGTGTGTGCTACCTTTCCATAGAGTTTAGCATATTTTTAAATTGTCACTCGGTGAATGAAAGCTGCCTCTGGGACTGTGTCTGTGCCGAACTGATCAGAAGCTTCTAAAAATACAGAAAATGTGCTGAAATGTAAGTGTTGGGGTTGACAAAGACTCCGCGATACGGCTGCAAGTACAATTGGTACATTTTCAAATGCAGTTTGGTGCAGTTCGAAGGCGCCGGCCACACCTGGTACGGAGGGAGTGCAGATATCCCTGCGCTGCAAGGCACTCTGATGAGCAGGTTCTGCGTCGCTTAGCAACCTACCGGTTCGAGATCTATATTTCTTGGCGGAGGAAAGGAAATACTTTTTTTTTTTTCTTCTAAACTTTGTTTTATCCACATTTTGTGCAGTTTTAAAGCATTTGTTGTTGTAAAATCACTGCAGTAGAGCCTCATGAAAGTTGAACATTCCCTGAAGGGTTTAATTTTAATAAAAAAATACAAAGGTTTTTAACAGAAAACAGCAGCAGAGTCTTACACGGAGCTGCTTCAGGGCGTGGCTCTGCATACTGTACTTTCCTGGTGGAGTGTATGTATCAGTGTGCATCTGTGTGTGTGTGTGTGTTTGCGCTTACGTTCATATCTATCAGTGGTCCTATGTGTTGTTACACGCTCACCAACCTTGGCCCCTCGAGCCAACAGGGGTCATTTTCCATGTGCCCTGTTGGTCATGCATAGAAACAAACTAAAATGAGTTAATGACACAAACCCTATTAGACTGTTTGTACACTGTAAGAATGTTAACTACTACAGATTTTTCCTGTTTAAAACAATGAATTAAAAAAAAAAAAAAAAAGTCTGCCTTTCTGAAAGCAGAAACAGCTGCTTAGTCGTGAGTTAAATGTTAGCTCTGTCAGAACTTTTTTAGCTGTTTCCATTAACTTTTTTTTCAGTGTGATAGTTCAAAATGCCCATAAAAATACATAATGGAAACACATGAGACATGCTATAGCATTCAGAGCCATTTATATCCCCGAGGGAGCTGGTGGAGACCAAACATGGAGCTCAATAACGAATGCTGGCTTTACATTCAGAATGTCGACACCGGTCATGCTGCTCTGTTTTCTGGAGACATGTTTGTTTGCCGCATTTTTCAACCCACTTGCTGCAATCCCTCATCTACCATGTTGCCCTCTGTTCCCAAAATAACTTCCAACTCAAAGATGCATCATTCTAATTGTAACACAGTCAATTTTGATGAGTTCTAGGAGGTGTAGGAAAGTTTAGGCGACACTGTTATGTGTTTATTTATTCACGCAATCTGTATGAAAAACAGATTATGTGCCAAATTAAGGTCATTATGTTAATCGCTGCTAGTGACACCGTATAGTTTCTTTGATTACTGGTTAACCATCTGAACCCCAACCAGTTTCTGGACAGAAAAATGGTAGCTGTACGTACAGTAGATATTTTACTACTTACGTGTTGATTTGTTTCCGTGCTGGTCTCCTCTGTCTGTACACACAGCCTGCAGTTCAGCTGAAACGTCACAGAATGTTTGTCACGTGACTGAGTCAAACATGGCGTTTTGGTCGGGCCGAAGAGCAAGAATCAAGTGCAAATACTGGCAACATTTTTGAATTAGGCACATAGAACAAAGCGATTTTGATCAAATAAAACTGTTTCAAGCTTAGATTTGTTAAACTTTTCCAAGGGAATGATGCCATCAGAAAGTACAAAGTCATTTTTTCTGTTTTTGTTTCCTGTTTATGGCTGATAAATGGTACCATTTTGGTGTTTTTTTTTTTGCTTATTTAAACAAAGGTAACCTGGTTTTGGGTTATTCTGTTGATTTGTTTGTTTGATTATTTGGTAAATCTGTAAAATGTTGGAAGTTGTGTGAGAATGCCCATCACAGTTAGAGACTGGCTAAAGGGACAAAATCAAAGAACCAACCAGACCAATCTCCAGAGAGATGTGAGGCTGCTGATGTTCACCGTTTCTTCTCAAAAGCTTGAATAACCTTCTCGAACAGAATAACAGCGTGATTGCTCGGCTCTGCACAGTAATCTGCAGTGTGCCGCAGATGTCTGTGATACTGTAAATATCTCCAGTCTCTTGTATCAACTATGCAGCATCAGATTGAATCTTTATTTATCAAAGGCAGTGAGGCGTGCACGCTGTTTTTGTGACTGCATTCACACATTTTTATGCTCCAGTAAAACCAACAAACCCAGTGCTGTCTGCATGTATGTGTGTCTTCTGCAGTCTCTTCCTTCTGCACCAGCATCGATCCTTCATGTCCCTGCTGGGCAGTGTGGTTTACACAGACAAAACCTATTGTAGAAAAATCACCTCCACAGGAAGCACTGTGTGGAGACACTGGATAAACTGTTGGAGGTCAGAACTGGTTGCCACTCCTTCACATTGTTGCCACACACCCGCTGTTGCCCAATCATCAATAAACAGGCGCTGCATTTGGAGTCAGAGCTCCGGGATTATTGAGAACGAGTCCAGCAGGTCTAGCTGCTGCAGCTTCTTTGCCGTCTTCATTCACTGAATTCAAATGTTGATTTCAGAGCACTATTTTAATTGTGCAAAGTGGCCTCGGGCGAGCGCTCTATTAAATCTTCCACTCCCACATTTAATCTCTCGCCTGCTCATTTGTAGTAGGATTTCGTCAACAAAGCCAATCTTTGCTTTCATTTCAATGGAAATATCCACCTGAACACACCTCAGTAGAGATATTCAAATTTGAAGGTCGGAATTTTAGTGGTGTTTGTGGCTCCATTGTTGTTTCAAATGTAAATGATTATCCCACACACACCTATACCTAATGGTACAAAATGCATAATTTAACAGTTTTGGTCAGAGATAATAATATAAAAAAATCCATTCTAAATTCAGGAACAATGATTGGTATTTGGAGCTTCTTGGATAATATAGCCGCTGCAGGTTTATGGTATGGGCGCCATTGGAACTGCATTTGCTAATTTGCCTTGATATACTGTCAACTGTTGGTTTAATCACCAAAAATGCTGATAATCAATTGTTAAATATGAGGAGTATTTTAATTAAAAAAATAAAAGGCAAAAAATCTGATTCCAGCTTCTTAAATTTGAATTTTTTGTGGGCTTTGAGAAACACTGATGTTTCAACATTTCTGACATTTTACAGACATAAATAATGGATCACTTTTAACCACTTCATTACAACATCCATGAGCTCAACTGCTGTTGCTACAGAAACATTTTATTGCTGCAGATAGGAACATTAACAATGTTAGGAATTTTTGTGTACATTGCAAAATAGACAACTTTAAGAAATAAGCTGGGAGTTGGCAACATGTTTTTGGCTTTTAATAGTGGTTTTCAATAAAAATCTTTTTTTTTTTTTAATGCTGAGTCAGAAATCTCCACTTTTTTTTTTTTTTGCATCTATTGTATTTTCTGATTAATGCAGTGATCATAAAAGACGTCCAAAGCCCCCTCCATAAAAACTTTAAATATATCAAGAAAATAAAACAGGAATTTTATACTTAACTTTATCCAAAGTTAAGATTTTGCATCTGGAAGTTTTTAGCAAAGGTGTGCAATATCAATAAGGTAGCAGCTCATTTGCATATTTAAACAAACAAACAAAAAAATATCTGAAACCTTGTAAAAATCTCAGCTTAACATTGTGATATATCATCAAAATCACTTTATTCTACATCTGCCAGTTAAAAATTTGCCAAAAGTAAAACATCTGCTCTAACAAGATTCTGTACAAATTAAAACAAATTGTGGTACAACCATGAAGCCGTGACTGATTCCGCTGCGACCATCAGTCATGATACACAAATTTATCGGTTGAACTGCAGGCAGTGTTTAAACAAAGCAGAGAGAAGTATGTAGACAAGTTAAAAATGTAAATTGTAAAATATCTTTAAAATATAGAGTACCAAAAAATGTTGAGCATCCATCCATCATCTATACACCGCTTAATCCTCACTAGGGTTGCTGGGAGCCTATCCCAGCCAAATATATTGAGCATGTTGATTCCATTTTTTTGAATTTTTGTAAATAAATAATCAAATATATTTCCCCTTTGCTTTGTCTTTCTATGAGATTTATGACCTGAAAAGCCGAGGCTAGCCATGGTCGTGCAGGACTTTATATTGCGATGAAAAATGAGCCCACAGTGAGTAAAAAGGTGACAGGTTGTCAACTGCAGTAGGCAGTCGTGTATCACTCTCAAAATAGTAGATATTAGATATTTTTTAAAACAATTAATGCACAAAAGGGTTTTTGAATTTCATTGAAAGCAGCCTAAGAGTGACAAAAAACAGCAAAGTATAATCAACTGCTGCTAAATGAAAAGTCAGAGCAGCAAAGTGATGAGTGTCACATCTCTGTGGGTGTATTTGCTGTGAGAATTGACATTATTTTGATTTTTTTTTAAAGATAAATGGAGGAAATTTTGATTTAACATTAAAAGCAAACATCAACCTCAGGACTGGCAGCGTTTCAGAATGATATGTTTGTGTTTTTTTTAATTGAATTTCTGTTGGCATGTGTTTTCCTGCAGAGCCCGTGTCGGATGTTCTCATCAAGCCCAACATGCCTGAAGCGATTGAACACAACAGCACAGTGGTTCTTAACTGCTCTGCTAAAGGCTCCTTCCTCAAGTTCACCTGGACCAACGGCACCATGCCAATCGTGGCCGACGGCAAGCGAGTGACACTGAAAACAGTCAGTTTCTACCCGTTTTTAAGTATTTACTTTTACACTGACTTTCAAGCTCTGAGTCATTCATGTATCATTCGCTTGTTATTTTTTATACACTGAATTTTTTCTATTACATTTTGTGATTCCCAATACAGATTTTCAACGATAGATTGATGTCAGGGCAGGAGTCCATGATTTTTATAGCGCACAGTGTTTTCAGTCCTTCATATTTGTTATGCAATAAGTTCTGTTTAGGAAAGAAAGCATGATGCACATGAGCACCAAACTGCAGCACAATCATTGTAACGATCTTTTGTAATTTTTTATTTTTTTTTAGAAAATATAAGCTGTTATATATGTGTTGTTTTTCTTTGAAAGAAATTACACATTTTTTCAGAGCCAGAAACTGTAAAAATAGACAGAACTGTGTGATTTCCAACTTTCTGATGGTTGTTGAACTACCCATCTATGTATGCTGTCAGAACATTAACCAAACCTAAGATCAAAATTATATTTCATCAAAAACTACCCAAAAGAGAACCATTTGCTCAAATCGATTCTGTAAAAAAATAAAAATAAAAAAGCAAAAAATTGTGGAACAAGAATGAAGACCAACAGTCAATCTAACAATTTATCGATTGAACTGCAGGCTGTGCTTATAGAGAGCACGGAGACACATTTGAAAGCAAATTAAATATGTACAAAGTTAAATATCTATAACATTTATTTTTATTAAAATATATTAAATATTGGTAACATTGTGGGCACCTGGAAAAATGCTGCACATGTTGATTTGAGTGTTTTCCAATTTATACTATAAATAATCATAGAACTTGAACTATTATTCTTTCTTTTTTAATGATTTATAACATTACATTATGACATTAAAAAATAAGTTGACGGTGAGGAAAAATGTGACTGGAGTGAAAAATGCACAGAAACTGCTTTGAGTTCAGAGGGTTAAAGAAAGAAATCCAAGTTTGTCAGATTTCAGTCACAGGAATTCGTTGTGTTCATCAGTATTTCCTTGTATGCTGCGTCACAGGAGGAAGCGTCCAGTTCGCTGACATTCGCAGGCGTCCTCAGGACAGATCTGGTTGGTCCTATTTACTGCACAGCTGCTAACGCGCTGGAGACGGAGAAGAGCGCCCCCTTCAACCTCACCGTCTACTGTAAGTACTGCACAGGCTAACGCTGACGAGCTCACCGCTTAGCATGAGCAGCGATAGTCACCAGATGAAGGAGGGCTCCTTTTTTTTTCTTTTCTTTCTTTCTCAGACTAAAATATTATTTCATACAGACCGAATTTCAAAATCTAGTTGGTACAATGTCATTAAAAATATTGAGCAGATTCTTGCTATGCTGATGATCAACCCTTCATCTTGTCTAGTGACCTATTTCCCAGTAGTTCCTCCAGTCCCACCCTCTGGATACATTTTTTTTGTTCTTTTATTAGTTTTTTAATACAAGCTTTCCAATTTTCTCTACAATCAAAGTTACTCCAATTTGACCACTCGGCAATTTGCAATAGCGTATTATTTCATGTGCCGACAAGCCAAACCCAGCAAATACCAGACTGAAGTTTTGTGAAGGACTTGCGTTGCAGCTGTGAACTTTTAAATTGGCAGTGTTCTCAGGTGGATAAACTGATCACTAACAGTTAATTTAACGGTGCTTCTGGTTTTACATAGCAGCACACCTGCATATTTGGCATTTCTGCACGGACGTTACTTGCCATTTATCAGCCTTTTCAGTTTAGTCTGCATTGTTTGAAAGGCTGCACTTGACTGAGCGAGCTCCACACCTGTTGAACAAAGAAAGGTCACACATGAGTCAGTCGCTGTTACTTCTTCACACCCAAACAGGCCGTATGTCATCATTTCTGTCATTTTCTCGCTCAGAATCCCACTGAGACATGAGACTTTACAGCATTCATGCAGCCGTTCCTTGTTGTGACTTTCACCCTGTCCAGGCATAAACTCCCATCTTGTGACTGCTGCGCTTCAGATTGCGTGGAGTGTTTGCGAGGCGCTGCCTCCCAGCTCTCTGTGGTCTGCAGCTGAAACCACATTGTTTACACAATTGTGTCCTTCTCCATGACTAACCTGAAAGGCAGTGAAACCACACCACGGTTTAACAGTGTTATTAATAAAGCTAAAGTTTACCGCTGCAGCTCAGGGGGGTTTAGTCTGCTCGGTAAAGGAAGTTGCGGGTATTTGTGCACGAAGTCAGAAAGAAAGTTCTTTTTGTTCTACATTTTGCTTCTGTAGAGAGATTTAAAAGTGTCTGCTTGTTGAGAGTTTATTTGCTCATCATAAGAAAAAGGTGTTAAGATCATAACGTCTAAAATCTTTGTTTTTGAGCAAAATATCCAAAAACATGTTTAAGGAGCAGAATTTAACATATTTCAATATAATTACTGATCATCTACAGACTAAAAATATATTGTTTTAATAGCTACCTTATTTCCTAGTTAGAACAAATGGCAAAAATATGAGAGATTTTCTGGTTACAAAAAATACCTTCATATGCTCTATTACAACATTTTACATTTTCCTAACTGACCATCTCAGCACAAAGATGTTTGTTATATAAATAAATGGTTTAAAATCTGCCAAATTAAAAAAAAAAATACAAGTCATAAAGTAGAGATTCAACATGTTTTCCAGTGTTGAGAACTCCTGTGGACACTTGGAAATGTTGATGTTGGTCCTATTTTTGCAATAATCAGCGAAGGTGCAGGACTTTGTATTGCAGTGAAGAATGAGCACACAGTGAGTAAAAATATGACGGGAGTAGAAAACATCCAGGATCTGCTTCGTGTTCAGAGTGAGAAAAGTCATCCTTTATATGCCTTTTGATTTGTGGATGATTCTGGATGCAAAGAACTGCCAAACAAATGGCAGCATACTCATGATAATTAATGCATTAAAGTGATAAAGTTTGTTAAAATAGGCACATATAAGTAACAATCCTAATAAACTTGACTAAAAAAAATGTAGTAAAAGTGCTACAGAGGCTATTAAACAGCAAAACCTGAATATTTCCCACATGCAGACGGGACCACAGTGGTGTTGAACTCTCTCCTCGTGCTCCACAGATGGACCGGATGAAGTCACCGTCAGCCCTGCGAAGCCTCCGCAGTACATAAGAGCCAAGTCCGACTTCAACCTGACCTGCTCGACCCGCTCCAGCCCGCCCGCCACCTTCCAGTGGTACCACAAGGAGACGTTGATGGAGGCCATGGACCCCGTCCTCACTCTGCAAATTATCGAAAAGCACGGACTTGGGAAGGAAATGGGCAGCTACATGTGCAAGGCGAAAAACGCCAAGACCGAGCGCGTCGCCTCCTCTCCTGCCGTTACCTTCGCTGTGATGGGTGAGTACCACGGCTGAGTGTCAAAGCAGATTTAGGTTTTTTTAACAGAGTCTACCCTCAGAAAAGGAGATATTCTGGAGAAAAACACATTTTAGAGCCTAATACCTGCAGAACTAGTGCCATTGGTTCACATCAGCCTCAGCTGGACTAAGCATGTGGTGCTGATTCTCAGCTGTTGGCATGTTAAGCACAGATGGTTAAACTTCATGAAGTAATATGTGGGAAGCTTCTGTTTTGTCACCGACCATTTAAAAACATTTATGAATTTATTTCTCCACATCTGCGTGGTGTCAGTTGTCCAGTTTTACAAGGGTTCTGCATGCTTTTGGAAATAAGTTACTGCTGTTAAAGACCTCAGCAAGGAAAATGTAACGCCATTTCTCCATCAGAAATGAAGGTTGCGTCACATCAGTTATAATATTAATAGGGTTTGGTGTGAACAACTGATGTGTCTCTACATAGCAAACATACAGAATGACATTTACATCTGTCAAAATGTCATGTTCCAGATGTTTAACCCTCTGAACTCCTGCGTTTATTGCTCCTGTCACTTTTTTTATTTTATTTTTTTTTATTTGTAGTCCTGCATCTGAACGGAAACAGCACAACCATGACTAGAAGCAGAGCAGAGAAGTCTTATGTGTAGTATTACAGAGTTATATTGCTATAAATCATAAAGATAACAAAAGTTACAAAAGTTTATTTTTTTATTTATTTGACACAAACTGAAAAAGCCAACATGTACAACATTTTTCCAAGTATGCTACCAATACTAGAAAAACAATACTGGTGACTCTGTTTACGCTACATATTTAACTACCTATTACTATTTTCACATTTGTTTTCATACTTGCGCCTCTCTCGGCTCTGTGCAAACACTGCCTGCAGTTCAGCCGGATTTTTTTTGACTGTTAATCTGAGTCATGGCGTCACAATTGTGCAAAGTAAAGCAGAATCTTTTGACTTTTTACAGATTCTGGTTAAAGCAAACTGGCTATTTTTTCAACATTTTTTTCAAATTTGTAGCTGAGGCGTGTAAGATAGAGTGATATTTGATGAAATGTCACGATTTTTAGGCCTAGATTTGGTTAATTTTCCAGACAAACCTGAAAGTCACAGATGCGTAATTCAAGAACTATCAGAAAGTCGAGGAGGGGAGAGAAGGGGAAGTGGGATATTCGGGTCCAGCCTTAATTCGGACGAAAGCAGAAGTTCACTGAACGTCCACCAACAGACAGCAGAACAAACTGAAACCTACACTTTTCTCGGTGACGTGCCTTCGAGGTACGAGACTGTTAAATGTGCGACCATTACTCATGCCGACTGCTCGTGACACCTTCAAACATTCAGGCTGCAGCCGATTCATCAGTTCGGACCTGTGAGCTGTTCAGATGTTGCATAACGCTCAGAGACAACCTGTGCTGTCTGTAATCTACTGCCAAGGTATCTTTTGACTTCTTGCTTTTTTGGAGGATGTTGTCTTCGTGTTAATTTCTGTGTGTGAAACCTGCTCTGTCAGAGGATGGTCTCACATTATGCCCTGAAGAGTTTCTTTGTTTTCTTTCATTTTGGTTGATGCGAGAGGAAGGAGGAGGAGGAGGAGTGTGCATGAAAAAAGAAGTGACTCGAACATTTTATCTTGGTGACTCAAAGCGGGTTTGGCAGGTTGAAACAGCAGAGTGAAGCCTGAAGTATGAGATCACCGACGTTGCAGTGGGAAGGGAGGGAACGTTTGTTTGACTCTTGGTATCGTGATTTGATTGAAGTGAATAGAAAATGGGAGTTACTTTTATTTTAAGGTGCTACTTTAGTGCAAAATGATCTGCAGCCATAAAGACAAACACCTCACGATCTCTCATGGAGTGATTTAAAATTTTGGAGCTTGGATGGACTCCCAAGTGTATTACGCAACAATACATTATTGGACTCAATGTGTGACCACTTTTCTTCGCTTTCTCAACAAGTTCAGGGATGTTCTTTAGGAGAAAAAAAACTAACATTGGGTTGTTTTGTTTTTCTGCGATATCAAAAAGTTTTCCACCAGATGACTTGGATAACTTTATCTGGATTAATAATTAATCAGAATGATTTTGTTGGGCAGTGCATCTGTATCAGAAATGAAAAACAATGCCTTTCTACTTTGAGACTTCTTCTGAGCGTTGGATCTTTTCTCACACGGCTCAACTCAGGCAAACGCAGTCGAAGTTTGCTCTGGATGGCGTTCAGATCAGTCTTTGAACTCATCGTGCAGAACTTTCATGTGCTGTTTTCTCAAGTATTGCCGGTGAATCACGTTTATTTCGGTCAGGTCCTGATTAATTTTCCATTTATTGTGCAGCCCCTCCGTTGACGTTTCTTTTTGCTACCAAATCTTCCTTTTCGCCGTTTCTCTCTGGTTCCTCCCTGACTTTGCTGTGCACATTTGAAGCCTGGATTTCAGCAAACTCTGTGTCTTTTCAATAAAGTTGAAACAAACACTTGGTGTATCCAAGAACCCCTTAATCTGAGTAAATGATCCTCAACCAGATGGATTCTCTTGTGGATCAGTCACTGAAAATGTCAACCATGTGAGAAAAATATCATGTGTAATTTAAAAAAAAAAGGCATTTGCATTGAAAAAACTGCAAAAAGATAAATAAAATCTCTCTCTCTCTTTTCTCTCTCTCCCCTGGATGCTCACAGAGGCCATCTCGGGTGTTAAAATCACCGGTCCGACTGAAGTCCTCTTCGCCGGCAACAGCACAGCAAACCTGACCTGCCAGGCGACGGCAGGAACCGTGAAGACCAAGACGTGGCTGAAAGACGGCAAACCCCTGATGGCCAGCACCCGCGTGGTCTATTACAACAACATGAGCTCCGTGTTCATCAACATGCTGCAGAAAGAGGACAACGGAGAGTACAAGTGTCAGCTCAGCAACCCTGTCAACACCGACGGTGCCAGCTACAAGATGGTGGTCAACTGTGAGTGTTTGCTTTGCTAAGAGACCTGAAGTCGCCGGCCGCTCAGGGTTTATGGTTTTCCATGACTGTGATTTCTGGGTGTGTGCTTGGCGGCCGTGGTGCTTTCATTTTATAGCGCTTTTATTACGTTCAGAGGATCATAAAAAATTATATGAAATTCTCAGCGAATGTCCATGTAAGACAGCCGCTTCCTGAAGCATGCTTAAAGACTCTTTAATTCAGTGCTGTTTTTATTTTGAACTTCTCTTCATTTTCTGTCCAGATGGTCCTGAGCAGGCGGTGGTGAGAGGTGAAGAAGCCGTAGAGGTCAACGACCCCATAAAGCTCACCTGCGCCGCCATGTCCGTCCCTGCCGCCACCTACACCTGGAAGTTTAACGGCACGGAAACCAAAATCACAACAGCGGACTACATCATCGAGAAGGCCGCGTACAAAAACACCGGAACGTACACGTGCCAGGCGTCCAACTCCGTTACCGGCAAGTCCAGCACGACCACCCACAACCTGTCTGTCAAAGGTAAGATCCACGTCTGCGGCCCGAATTTTAGATTTACAGGACGGACGGTCTTGCATCAACTGCAGATGGACATGAACAGGCACTAGCAGCCCAATTGACCATCAGAACCCTCGGGTTCAGTTAAAATGCCAGAAAAAAAACGTAAAATTAGAAGTTGAATTTCTCGTTGGCTCTACATACTACAGATATTTTACAATTTCCATTTTTACAACCTCTACATACTTGTTTTTTTTTTAACACTACTCTGCATACCAGCTCTACAAAGATGTTTCACCACGATGACAACAACTTGCTGACAACTTCAGCCTCAGTGTGCTGTTTTTCAACCGTGCTGCGTTTATTTTATTGATCAACTATGTTTGAATTTGCTCTCAATGTATTTTTTTTTAACTGAGAAGACGTTCTCCTCTCTGCTCTGTGTAAAACACAGTCTGCCGTTCAGTGAACAGTCACTGAATTTTTGTCACGTTACTTTCGGTTCCACCAAGGATCGCAGATTTACATTTTATTTTTTTACATAAGCTGGTGCAAACTCTTTATTTATTATCTATTTTTGAATTTTTACAGAAACATAATGATTTTAGGCTTTGATTTCATTAATTTTTTTTGATGAACTGGCGCTTGTAAATGTTTTGTTTTATTTATTTTTTTTAATTTTTAGAAAGATGGCATGCCTTTCAAACCCACTGGTAGGTTTTGGTGTTCAGTGGGTTAAAGTTTTTTATTTGCCTTTTAATTGTGCAGAGTTATGCAGAGCGTTGACTTCTATACGCCTGTTTAATTTATGTATGACCTTATTTACGATCAGCCAGCAGCAAACAGCGCAGAGATCTCCGCCAAGGTGACAGAAATACTTTTAGCATCATTCATCGTCTCTCAGGTTGAAAGAAATGTGGTCGGTTCATGACTCAGCAGCTGTTATTTGTTCGTTTTTTGGCACGCGAGCGCGATATCACCTGCAGAGCTGCAACAATCAACCGAACATTTAATTAGCTGTCACCTATTAAATTAACTGCCAACTGTTTTGGTACTTTGTTTTATCATTCTGGGTAATTTTTGAAGAGAAATGTGGTTGACCCAGTTTCTAAGTTTCCAACCTTGTGGCTTTACATCTCATGAATCTTTAAAATGACACGTCATGTAGATTGTAATGCTGGTATGTACTTTACCGGCATTATCGATCACTTCCACAGAAGTCACTCACTCAACAGTCAGTCTGAGTCACGCATTCATTTCTCGTTTGGTTTCTGTTAAGTGACTCATCGCCGTAGTTTGCACACAGAGTAAATATTTATTTACAGTATCATACAAAATTCAGTTTGTATGTATTGACAGATGTTTCTCAGAATATTCTGATGTGTTAAAGATGAATTAAATCCTGTTTTTACAGAGGAGGGAGCGTTGGATGAGGGTCTCTCAGACGGAGCCATCGCTGGAATCGTCATCGCCGTCCTCGTTGCTCTTGGAGCCGCCATCGGCCTAATCTTTTACTGCCGGCAGAAAGTACCGTAAGTACTCTTGCTTTTTGATGGCTCAAGCTGAGCGTGCATTAGAACTCTGAATGGGCCAAATTGAGTTGACAGGGGAGGATGAGTTGCATTACAGAACATTGTGTGCACTTACGGAAGTGTTGTTAATGTGGCTTTTGGCTGAAGATGATATGATAGTACGGGTTCTTTTCTTTTCTAAGAGCTCCACTTCAGGCCTCTGCAAGCTGTGCAGTAATCCTCCTGGTTAATTATTTAGGCAACCAGACGTTTCCTTCAAGGCGGTTTCCTGTCTTAATGCGTTGACGTTGGCTGATAAGGTCTAGCTCTAGTGTTGGTTTCAAAACGTAGTTTTGAAATTTAAAATTGTAGCTGCAGCCTTCATTCACTTTATCCCAGAACAGTTTGATGGGGTTAAGGTCACACCAAACTTCCATTTCTTCATGGTGCTGGCTCAGTGAGCAGGAATATTGATTGTAGTGTTGAAACAGACAAAAGACAAGCTGTTGTCTAAAATGTCAGTAAGATTTCCCAACATTGGATTTAAAAAAAAAAAACAGCCCAAACCAGACTAAATACTTTAAGCCAATGAAAGAAAGGATTGTTTTTAGTCTTTAGGTGTGTTTGTGTCTGTCATGCCGACCAGTTGTCACGGAAACACGCTAGAAGCTGATATTCTCTGCGGAGAGAGGAAAACTAGGAAGGAGTTTTAACAGATTTTTATCAAGGTATGCCAGTTAATTAAAAATACAAAATGTAAAATAAACGATTGCATAAATATTAAACCCCTTGAAGTCAGTTTTTAGTAGATGCACCATTGGTGTAATTACAACTGTGTAGCTTTGTGTGCTTCGGGTTCCTGTCTGCTGGAAAACAAATCTTCTCCCAAGTCACAGTTCTTTTGCTGACGGCATCAGGTTGTCCTGTAGGTGTTCCCTACTCTTTGCCACATTAATTTTCCTCTGTACCTTTACAAGCCTTCCAAAGACTTCTGCAGAGACGCATCCCCACATCATGATGCTGCCACCACCATGCTTCATGGTGGGGATGGTGTGTTTGTAATGCTGTGCAGTGTTTGGTTTCCACCAAACGTAACTTGTAGTCTGATGGATAACCAAATAAATTTTGGTCTCATCAGACCAAAGGGTCTCTAGTGACTTTAGAGTTTGAAATGAAGTTATTGTCTGCATAATCTCTCCCATCTTAGTGGATGAAGGTTGTTTCTCCTTCAGAAGAGTCATAGGTGTCTTGGTGGCCTCCCTCACTAGTCATTCAGTTTATTAGAAAAAAGTTTAAAGCATGCTATGTGAGCTCGAGTTAGCGGCCAATCCATCAAAGTTGTTATTTCTCTTGTTGTGCTGACACGTTTCCAGTACTTTCTTTGCTGCTGTGTTAATATTCCTTTCTGCACAGTTTAGAAATGTGTGTATGTGTGTTATCTGACCTTCCTTGTAGACTTTAACATATCTGTCATTCCCTTTGTGTCTGTATATTTCTCAGTCACGTCCGCCACTTCCATGACCTTCTAGGAAATTCTCTTCATTCCTTTCACGCCTTGACATCTTGCAACATGTTAGACTGATGTAAACACACATACATTCACGCTGTGGAGCTGCCACACAACTGTCACCGTTACACCACAATTTACAACACGTCTTCGCTCAGAAATTCCTTTTGCTGTGTAGAAGCTGTTTCTTAACAGAATCCAGTTTTTTTTAAACAAGAATCCCTGAAAATTATGCTTAGATTCACATCACCAAGAAGAAAACGCAAAAATTGGTGGAAAATCATTATGGGAACAACCAAAGTCTGCTTCTTCGGAAGTTGTGAAATGATGAGGCAGCACAGTTGGATCATTTCAACTCATTGCCAGTAGAAATTGCTTTGGCGTTGGCAGGGCTTGGTGTTGCTCAGGGAAATCACAAAATGTGCCAATAAAGCCGGTAAAATAGAAGTCGCAGCCACATTAAGCAACAGAGCAGCTGATCGTTCCATACCTGCACGGCGACAGTGATGCAATCCTGCGCCGCATCCTGTCGCATTTCAACACACTGAGGAGTGCAAACGGAAACTGCCTCCCTGAAACAAAGAACAAACGGATGAGTCAGTGACAGCCTTGGACAAGCCAAGACGTTCACATTCTTTACTCTGGCAATTTTGGCTTGCAAAGGTATTTAAAGCTGCTGGTGAAGAAAAGTGATGCGATTTCTTTTCTGCGTCACAAAAAGTACGTATTCACGATAGAGAATAAAAACTCATGTTGGACACTCAAGGTTAACTCTCTCAAATTATTATATAGTGATACCGTTTGTAGGAAAATAGATTTCTGAAGATGTTTTTTCAACTCTCTCCGCAGCCCCAAGTCAAGCTAAATAGCTGCAGAAGAAAAATATGTGTTTATCAAGTGCTTGAAATACCAACCGTGAAGCTATAATTGACTCAGCTGTGACCAACAGTTGTGACAAAAATCTAGAAAATTTTCGTCTGAACTGCAGGCTGTGTTTACACAGAGCAGATAAGTAAATGGAGGTAGTAAGCTATGTCTAGTATGTGGACCCACCACTTTATTCCAGTGTTGGTAAAAACCTGTGGGCACCTTTTTACATTTTTGTAAAATAATCAAAACCACTTAACTTTCAGTTTTATGTGTTTTATGACCTATGGCAATATAAGTTTATCATACTGCGCAGAAGACGTTTTTGCGTTACTTCTAGTCATGGTTGTTCTGTTTCCGTGGAGATGCAGGATTTTATATTGCATTAAAAAAAAAGAGCCCACAGTCCTCCGCCGTCCTCCAGTCAGGCAGAACGCTGATCACCACAGAGGTGTTCAGGTGTCGGATGTTGGGCCTCTCGGGGGGCCCCCGGGGGGCTCGGATTGACTGACTCGTCCGTCATTTTATCTCCATCGCCATCAGAAGGTGTCGGCGCCGATGACAAGACGCCTTTGTTCCCTGGTGAGCCTCCGTGTTGATGGTGTTCAGGGCGAATTGAGTGCTGAGAGGAGCATGGAAGGAGTTTAAATTTCTGTTTGTGGTTTCTGTGTCAGCTGAAACGTCTCATTTATAAATGTCAGCTGTTTAGGTGCAATGTGAGTCCATTCAGCTACAAAAGTATGTTCTTTATTATTTGTCTCTAGACTGTAGAGCTGTAGAATTTAATTGATTATTCAGTCAGTTGTCAATTATGAAACAATCTGCAACTATTTTGATAATCGGTTTAAGTGATCTTTTAAAGAAAAAAAGTCTAGATTCTCTGATTTCAGCTTCCAAAATGTGAATATTCTCCAGTTTACTTCCTCCTCTATGACAGTAAACTGAATATCTTTGGGTTGTTGATGAAACAAGACATTTGTTGGCCTTTAGGAAACACTGATTGCCATTTTTTACATTATTTTCTGACATTTTATTAAGCAAAAACTAATCAACATATTAACCAATGATGAAAATAATCGCGATTTTAAACTCCTGCATCCTTGTCAGAATCCTGCAGGAATGATGCCTCTGTATTTCCAGCGATCTGATTGGTCAGCGCTGGAGCAGGTTCGCCCTGCAGCGTGGTTGCCACGGTGATTTACCTGTTGAGCCAGTTTTGCGATTCAGGCCCGAAGAGAGCCGTTATTACTCACTGATCTCGCAGCTGCAAACAGCGCATCGCCTTGTTTTGTTGGTTTTCATCATCAAACGGCGTCACATCAGAGCTTTTTGTGCAGGTGGAAATCAGAGAAGTCAGTTAGAGAAGAGACGGAACTGTAACGTTCAGACATCTCCAGACGATGAGGAGTTTCTATGTGAGGAAAAGAAAGTGCTGACAGCAGAGATAAACGCACAACAAGACGGGGATGTAAGAATCTGTAGAGGCAGTAGAGCATCTGCAAACATGGCTTCTCTCGGTGCTGCAGTGCTCGTTTTTGAGTTTTTAAAGTGCTCATATTCTGCTTTTTTGTGCCGAAATATTAAAAACCCTTGGAGTCAACATGTGCAACATTTTTCCGAGTGTCCACAGATGTTACAGGTGCTGCATGTAATAGAGATTCCACTACTTAGATTTTTAAATTTCCTTCCATGCTTGTCTCCTCTCTGCTCTGTGAAAACACTGCCTGCAGTTCAACCAACTAAGGTCTCAGATTTTTCATAACATGAGTGTTGGTCACAGCTGGGTCATTTATAGCTTCATGGTTGCTCAGAGGAGCCCAGAATTTTTTAGTTTGTACTGAATTTGGTTAGAGCAAAGTCTTTATTTTAGACAAATTTTTAAATGAGTAAAAGAGTAGAATAAAGTGATCTGAATGAAACATCAGTAGAAACGATACCTCATGGATGTGTAGTTCACGGATGGTTGGAAAGTTGGTGATTCCTTCTGCTTTCACGGTTTCTTTTTTTTTAATAAATGTTGGAATTTGCAGTGTCGCTGTAGGACACTGATACGTTGACCACACCAGTGATGAATGTCTTGTGTGGGTCTTTTTTTTTTTTAAACTACATGTTTCTAAGCATCATGTTTACACCACTTTAAAACATGTTGTCTGTTTATTTTAATTCTTCTGAAAGCGTAAGCACCCAATATGTGTGTCTGCATCACCTTTGTCAGACTGGAAGTAAACGGGTAACCCTGTAACATGTAGGAAAAGATGATCTAAAAGCCTTCTAGCTACAGCTTTTCATTTAAAACACAGCTTTTCAAGGTAAAATGACCTCACTGCACAACAACGTCCTCTGGGTGAAGGTTTAAAGTTAAAACCGGTTCTCCTCACGTTACAATAATGCACCTGTTGAACTCCGGCAACAACAAAAGTACACTAAAGTGGGTGATGCACTTCTAATTTGTGCATTTGTGTTCAACTTGGGTCGTTATTTTCAGAAGAAAAAAAACAGCATTAAGCTTGAGTAAACTTTTCAGATGTTAATGCACACTTAGCATCTTGGGAGAGCGACGCAGACGTACGGTCACAAATCAAAATAAAGATCACATCGTCTGATAATGAAACCGGAATCCGAACAGTCTGAATGAGGAAAAAGGGAA